CACCGTTTCAAAAGTACCGGTTTGGCACCGGTATCGGATAAAACCTAAACGATACCCATCCCTACTTAGAGGTATTTTTACTTTTGAAAAATGAGAATTATTTTGCATCCTTTCTGCTGGCTGATTCAGTGCTGGTGATTTTGAGGCAGCTCTTCCACACATGATGACATGTGAGGCAAAGATGATGTGTTACTTAACCCTGACTTGTTTTGGAGACAGAAAATTGATGCCTCAAAGTGAGTTTCAGAAGTGAAAATATGCTGACTCTACAAAGAGGACTTAAAAATAGCAACATCATATGTAATCATAAAGCAGCCTGTGACACTATCTGACAGAAAGAGTCACTGCAAGTCTATCTATGTAAGTCGCTCTATTGCGGTGTGGACAGGTCAGCATCTCTCTCTGTGGGAAACTTTTGTTGCCAGCTGACACGTTGAGATCAACTCGAGTGAGGCTGTGTTGCCTTCTGCTAGTTCTCTGTGTGCTCTACTCCATCTCTCACCACGTCTCTAAAACACACACAGCCATACGTGGATGTCTGGTAATAGAAAGAAACTATTGAAAGAAGCTAGCACGACCAAACTAGACTGTAGAGGCGATAAATTAGAGAGAAACAAGTGCACTTAAATGAGGAATCTAAGTAAAAATCAACAGCAGCTCCCTGCACTTTCCTACTAACTGGTCACTTATTGGCTTTTGTTTCTTCTGTTACAGGTTCAGCTGAAGAAGTGCATCCCCTTCCCCATGGCCCAGGCGTTCCAAGCAGCCAAGGCCATCCTATCTCGTATCCTGGCGCGTCCACGAACAGGCCTCAGCCTCTACCACCTGCGCACCCTTCTCTTCTGGGCCTGTGACCGACTTCCTTCTGCCTACCTGTCCTGCCCGGACACCGACACACCCGGCCGCCTCCTCCTGGGACTCCTGGACGATCTGGCTCATTGCATCCTGGGTAAAAACTGTCCAAATTACTTCCTGCCCCAATGCAACATGTTGGAGCATCTGACAGACAGCCAGGCACTCCTTGTTGCCAGGAAATTGGCCCACGTGCGCTCGGATCCCAGCGAGCACCTGCGGGCGGCTCTGGACCAAGCCCAGCAGGCGGGCCAGCTGAAGAAGGAGCTGACAGCAAGCACTAACGGCCACAACTCCCCCGGGCATCACTCGGCCAACGGCATCATCTCACCTTCAGAGGACAAGCTGGCGCAGCGGCTTCAGCAGCTGGTCACAGAGAACCCTGGGAAATCCATATCCGTCTTCCTCAACCCCGATGACGTCACCAGGCCACACTTCCGCATTGATGACAAGTTCTACTGACGCAGACACGCTGCAGGGAAGACGTATGGAATTAAGTGTGTTTAGCTAACAAACACACTGAAGAACGCTGTGCAGACGCTCCTGTTTGACCATCCTACGGCGATGAAGCCGTGCTGCTTGACTGACTCTTTAAACCAAAAACACTCATTTCTCACTACTGAAAAAAACGAAACAAAAAACGTCCAGTTTACACGACGTTGCATAATGGACATGATGTCACCAAGCTGTTGCCACGGATATGGCCCTCCCCTAACGAGCTGGCCTTAACAAGACTTATCAGCTGGTGCTGAAGACAAGGGCCGGGCTTTAGTCACGAAAAATAAGTCGAGTGGAGATGAACACAAAGTGTGTGTGTGTGCGTGTACATGTTCGCCCAAGAGTTTTCATCCATTACTTACACTTCTGAAGTCAGCGGGAGAAAAGCTCCACGATTGGTGCATTTCTCCCTTTTTTATTCCAGATCAGAGTGGGCGATAGCTGAATTAGAAAGGAAAAACAAGGTGTGGCTGATGTAACTGAATGTAATGTTGTAAGGAGAACTGCCGAGTCTTTATAGTCTCTTTTCTCTTTAAGCTATATTTTAGCCCCTTTTTTTTTTTGACCCTCATGCCTCAATTTATGACTTTTTTCCTCCTCACTTTAAAAAAAATCTTTCTCAGGTATGCACAACCCTGTTTTTGTAGGTCTATGATTATAATGTTTCATGTCAAATACATTTCATGGGGTGATGGAATGTACCAAAGAGCTACGTTTGAGCAGAACAAACACGTTTTAACATGTGTCGACATCTTACTCTGGTCTGACCTGACGAATCCACACGGTCAGAATGTTTGTTTGCCTTTTATCCTTTGAAAGTCTCACACCGGCATGTAAAATGGTAAAAGTGGGCCTAAAATTACAGTTAAAATTTGTGTAAAAAGTGGATCAAATAAATAGGTGCAAAACTTGCAGCAGAACAAGATTATCGGAGCACGGTAACAGTCTGAGAAAGTAATGGTTTCAAAATATGAAATTATAAGTTGGAGTCAAAAATGTTTATGATTTAAAACTCATAAAGCTTATATATAATTAGTAGAAACTAGGAGTAGGGAAAAGGGAGCAGGGCCTTTAAAATAAATAAATAAATGAATGAAAAACCTATAAGTTCTGGTAGGTAATCGGCAAAGAAAGGCAATTTCATTTTTTCCAATACCAATATAAAAGTAAAACTGACGACTGTCAGTTTTCATGCAGTGATATTACCATGAAACTCCTGTAAGTCATATTAGTGCAATGATAATGTTTCAAGTTGATTTAGGGGAGCTATGCAGCTCTTTAGTTGTTTTGTACCTCTAACTTTATTCCCCTGTCACAGTGAAAACTGTTCATGCAAACGATAATGAGAAAGGAGTCAATAGCTAAAGTGTGCCAGACGTTTTATCTCATTAGCGCTCGACTTCTTGCTCACTGACTGACTGTTAACAAGTTGTTAGAAGCCATTTCCCCCTCCGCTTTAGTAGAACTGGAGCGCATTAAATGGTATCCCACAAACAAAAACAACACAGTGAGAAGAAAGGAGAAACAACCTGGGTGAGCTATTGTAACTGACTAGAGCTAGCATGCCTTGGGTGCTTGCTTTTAGCTGTTAGCGTGCTAGCTACAGTAGTACACCGCCTCTTCCAGAGCCACAACAGTTACTTCACTATGGTAGTGAAACTGGTATGTACATTATGAACTACTGTTTGATTATAAAATAAGGAAGCTTTTTTTCCTTAAAAACTAAAAGCATCTGTTAACTTTGTTAATTTAAGACAGCCGGCACACAGCTAGCATCTGTAGCATCTCAAGTCAAAAAGAGTAAAATAATGTAAAAAAATGAGAGGGAGACTGTCAGTCAGCTTGTGTCAAAGATGTGGCTCAGCTTTGCCATTTCACTTGCTGGTGTGAGAATAAACTAAAATTCAAGCAGTTCAAGAATTTAAGAAATTGCTGGTACTGCTAAGTTATCACTGTAAGTTCTAGATAAATCCATAAAACTTTAAGCTTTTCAGTTTTGACTTTTGAGTGCTATGGTAGGCACTTTAAAAGGGGATTAAGAAAACTGAGAATACAAAAGGTAACTATAAAGCAGCAACTATACTCTGCTTGTTGTGTGATGACATATGGACCCTGTTTCCAGGTCCATTTAGTCAGTTTTGTGCATGACGGCACTCGTCTCGCTGCTGTACTTCTCCATAAAGTACCCCTCTGTACTTTATGGAAAAAATACTCACCCCAAAGCATCTAATTCATTGCCTTTGCTGCTGTGTTGATATTCGCATGACAACACTTCTGTAGTCAGCCAGCCTGACTTCACTAACACTCCTTTTTGTTTAAAGTTATAGCTTTTGTATACTTCATGAACACTTCATCAAGTAGCTAGCTAGCTAGCTAACTTCACTAAACTTTGGAAGTCATCTTTTTAATGACCGCCTGGATGCTACACATGATTGTACACAGTTAATTGGAGTTGAATGAATTTGGGCCGTTTTAACCCTCAAAGCTGCCTAAAAGGTGTTTACTTTTGGGAACCGCAGAAATAGATAATTCTTTTTTGGCGCTATTGTGTACTACAGCCACCATTAAGTCTACATACTCCAGTACATCTCTTCTTTTTAAACATTGTGTAAGCACATCCATTCACGTACTGTAGGGGAAACACACAGTTTAGTGTCTTTTTTGGAGGCTATTTTTGACTTGACTGCTTCTGGTAATTGTCGCGTCTCCTCTGCTTGACTAGTCTTTTTTTTAATGAGCTTCATGTGCTTGTATATGCGCCGACGTGTGTGTTCACTGAGAGACGAACCTGACAGCAGGGTGCAGACAGACACCCAAATGGTGCCTGTGTAATTTCCCCCCTCCGTGGGTGCAGGTGATTTGAAGTTGGCCTTTTAACTTCATCCCACTTCTTCTGGCAACTTGCTGGTCCAAACACACACACACACAAAAAGCTCTTTATACTTGGTATCACTCCAGCACGCTGTTTACTCTGTTAGCAGACGCTCTCCTGCAGCGCCACTTCGCTGATTTGATTACAAGCCGCTGCAGCAGAAGCGAGAAGGAAATCCAGATCACTTCCACTTACATGGATTTAGAGAGAGTTTGTTTTGCTTAAGTGAATTTGAGACTACATGGCTAAATTTTGATTCAATTAGTTGACCCGACACTGCAATGCTGCTCTCAGTGTTGGGTACAAAACACAACAAGCACACAAGTCGGTACAAGTCTCCTTAAAAATCAGGGTGGTGGTTGATTTTAAACTACTGGTTAGAATGTTTCAGGTGTCCTGTGTTACACTGTCAGCTATTGTGTACTTACTACTGAATGATTTTTAAAAGAAAATAATATGTGTGTGCGTGTGTGTGAGCCTGAGGAAAACCAAAGTGTGTTGTCGAGGCTGTACAGAATGTCTCAGCATGGTGTGTATTCAGCTGTTAAGGTGGACCGGGTGTTTTCAGCACTTTCTCCAAGATGGGCCGGATTATGGCTGCCCAGACTCTACAAGATTTGATCACAGCGTTTATTTATTGGAGCGTAGAGATGTGTTAACGGTACGTTCGACGTCCGACTGAGAGTGTTGGAAGTTTAAAACGTGTCACAACTTAACAGGCCTAGTTAGAGATTACTAGACACTGGAAACAATCAATGTTTTTACCTGAATTGTTGAATTGTACACATAAAATCTTTGGGGTATTAGTATTGATTCATAGATATGCAAACAACACCCCCGAATCAAACGGCCTGTGTGTAGATTTATTGTCGATGTAAAAAACGAGGGTTGAGTCACTATCTGCTCTCCAGGAATGAAACACCTGAACACATCACTGTCTTCTCTTTGCTATTCTCTTAATTAAAAGAAAAACTTTTGGTTATTAAAACTTTTGAATGTATCCTCCATATCTTTCTAATTTGTTCCCTACTTGAGGATCAGTCACCCTTCACTGTTATCTAAGCAGATGTAGTGTGCTCTATGCTCAGGCACTGAGATAAGCATCTGTAGTGAGTCAGTCCACAGTTTGAGAAATTGAATTTCATATCTCTCTTATTACTTGAGTTCTTTCTCCATTTTTTTCTTTCTTTCTTTAAAAAGAAAAAGCAAGTTTTTATTTCTCTCTATGCTGAGTGATTTGCTTTATTTATTACCGTTTATGTTCTCGGGGTTTATATTGATTGATCTTAAAGCTTTAGCATGAAATAAAACATTACTTTTAAAGTGCTACCACGTGCTGTTCTTTGATTATGTGTGCATCATTTTTATAAGGATAAAACAGTGCTCTGTTTCCCTGTGACTAGTCTGCAGTCTAACAGAGGACGGCAGGCTTTAACATCGGCTGCAACACGCGTTTAATCCAACAGAGGGCACCACAGGACAGCGTTTACAGCGAGGCTGCTACAGACCCGCCCCACTGCTGCTCTGATAAGAAGCTGATGTTGGATTCTGTCAGCGTCCGTACGCTCTCGTGATGAATGTCAGATTAAAACTGGTGCTAACCTTGCAGCCACATCTCAGTCAAGTTCTTTATCCAAGTCACAGCAACAAAGTCAGTTCTGTTTTCTGGACGTGGAAAGGTCAGAGGTCAACCTCGAAGCCTAAGCAACACAGATTCTTGTAGATCTATTGGTAAAAGACATTTGACAACATGTAAGAGATGAATAAAGAGAAATAAATACACATATTTTAGGACCCCTTTATTATAAACCCTCCACACATTTTTTTTATGTGATATCTTCAACCTGTGCACACAACACTGCTAACAACCAAACAAATGGAGCAGATTACACACAGCCTCGCTTTGAGGAGAGAAAAAGTTACTACTTGGAGTTTCATACACCAGCTTTACTCTACTTCATCATTATTGTTATGGCAGTATTAACCTAAACGAACTTTGAACTGGGTTTATTCTAGGTTTACTTCAGAAAACTAGTACTAATCTAAATCTACAAACTTCTTCAATTTACCAAAAGACCACCGAACAGCACAAGGCTGATGAAATTGAATGAATAGTTCACCTTCATGTCTGTTAATTTCTAGCTTGAATATTTCTCTGGTCTCTTACTTTTGCTTTCTTGTCTTTCCCTTTCTTTTTCTCACTTACTTTCTCTTTTGCTTTCTTGCTTTTCCATAATGTTAAGCGATCAGACACACTGACTATTATTTATATTGTAAAATACTTGGTTAACACATTTGCACTATTTTAACTTCTTTAAGTTTCTTCATGTAATCTCTCTTGAACTTTCTCAACAGTTTGTGTAATTCTTCATCTGTGGTTGGTTATTTCCTGGGGTGCAGATGCCGGGTGGGTAATTTGACAAAAATAATTATGAGTAATTTGGTTTTGTCCCCGGGCGACATTTGAGAATGTTATCCATAGCCTGTCATTAGTTATGTGATGATGGCACAGATGTTTTTGGTACAAACACACACATCATATCGTTTTCCATTAATGCCCGAGACCTCATGCTGATAGCAGCAATCTGTTAAATGTCTTTTAAGCAGATTATGAAGCGAGGAAATCGCTGGATTGTTTGATTTACAGATGCGACTCTGTCACGCACTGACCTCATGAGTCACTGGGACCAGTGACACTGTGAACCCTTCATCTGCCGTTGGCCTCACAGTGACCTGGCTTTAAACCTGAGACTGTGCATACAGTTAGTTATACTTTTTAAAAAATAACTTTGTCTCTACACCAGCACAGTGGATTTTAAACCAAACAGTCATGATGTGAGTCTGTGCAGACTTTCAGCTTTGAGGTTTGATAATCGCAACCTTTGGAGTTTCTAACTATGCAATCTGGTCAAAATCCTCTGCAAGAGCAACATGAGACACAAAGAATAATGAGCTGAAATCTTTGGCAGAGTTCTGTACCAGTGCAGATGATCCTAAAAATGGGTATTTTCCAAAGGAGAAGGGTTAATCCTATGATTCTCTATATATATTTTAAAATACACCAATAACCTGTTAAGACTCCATCCATTTGCTTATCCTTTTCAGGGTCATGGGACTTGTCCCAACAGTCTTTGGGCATAAGGCAGGGTACACCCTAGACCAGCGGTCCCCAACCTTTTTTGCGCCACGGACCGGTTTATGCCCGACAATATTTTCACGGACCGGCCTTTAAGGTGTCGCGGATAAATACAACA